CCCAACAAAAAAATAACCAAGGGCGCCAGGCGCGCCAACTAGAATCAGAAAAACCGGACGATCGGCTTAACTCATTAGCCGGTCGTTCCTACGACGAAATCCGGGCTTTCTTCTACGACCAACAGGTCAATGAAATGAAGGCCCAGGGAAAAGCATTCGGAGCTTAGGTCACTTGGGTACCTTAGCTCCCCCTCGAAATGAAGTAAACCACAACAAGGTGGCCCCTGCTCCGGGGTGTTGCACGAGCAATAACGGAATGACGGGGATGGCTTCCCAATTTATAAATAGATTTTTAAACTTGTTATCAGAAGCTTGTACTTGTATGAAGAACTGCAATTGTAATATTTATGATACTACCGCTGCACCAGTGTCTCCCTCGGAGCGTGGCCCCGGCGAGACAAACACTAGGGTGCTTGATTCTGGTAAAACAAAAATAGAAAAACATGTGTCATTTGAGATTTCCCCTTCTTCTCCTATTTCTTCTTCTTCTTTGGAGCCACCCTTTCCCAAAATCCCAAGACGTGTGTTGATGCGCACGTATTTATTCCAAAAGGAGATCCGTTTAGACGTTGGCGTGGAAAACCTTGCCAGGGGCAAAGTACACTCGACGAGCGCACTGCTTGATTCAGGCGCTAATGGGATCTTCATTGATCAGGTCTGGGCGGAGCAAATTGGACTCCCCCTTGTAAAATTAGAAATGTCTATTCCCGTCTATAACGTTGATGGTACGCTTAACGCAGGTGGCTGTATCACGCACAAATGTTCTTTTGTGGTCGAATACCAAGGACACAGAGAACGAGTCACTGCCGAAGCTACCCAACTAGGGAAGATTAATTTAATCTTAGGCTGGACCTGGCTATTTAAACACAATCCTGAGATCAACTGGCAGACAGGGGTTGTCACATTGTCACGTTGTCCCCAGGAATGTGTAAACTTGGGTAAACCTAATCAAGTCCGTCACGATGAGCGTCTCGAAAAGTTAAACGCTAGTCACATATACAAGCTCAGATCTTTGGAAAAGATCGACGATGACGATGATGAGGTAAATCCTGAGGAAGAGATTAAGAGGCTGGTACCTCCCGAGTACCACGACTTCTGGAAAGTCTTTTCTAAACACAAATCAGAGCGCTTCCCAGAGGCTAAGCCTTGGGACCATGCTATAGATCTGAAAAACACCTTCAAACCAAGGAAGGGACATATGATACCGCTCTCTGCTCCCGAAAGAGACGAGGTATCTAGCTTCATAGATGAACAACTTAGGAAGGGTTACATCAGACCTTCCAAAAGTCCTATGACGTCCCCGGTGTTCTTCATTCCTAAAAAGGATGGTAAGAAGCGCATGATTATGGACTATCGTTACGTAAATGAGCACACGGTTAAAAACGCGTATCCGCTACCTTTAATTAGTCAGTTAGTGGACAAATTGGCTGGTGCCAAAATCCTGACTAAGATGGATCTCAGATGGGGGTACAACAATGTACGAATCAAAGAGGAAGATGCTTGGAAGGCCGCGTTCACGTGCCACCGAGGATCTTTCGAACCCCTTGTTATGTTCTTTGGGTTGACCAATTCACTGGCAACCTTCCAGAGCATGATGAACGAGATCTTCGCAGATATGGAAAGCTGTGTTGTCATATACATAGACGATTTATTAATATTTACGAAGTCGGACGATGAGGTTGAGTACGACAGGATCGTGCAAGAAGTCCTTCGACGCTTACAGGAACGGGACCTATTTGTCAAACCCGAAAAATGTAACTTTAAAGTGAAGGAAGTAGACTTCCTTGGTATGATCATAGGCCAGAACGGAATCAGGATGAACCCTGAGAAAGTTCAAGCCATTTTGGATTGGCCAGAACCTACTCGCGTCAAAGGAGTAAAGGGCCTTCCTGGGCTTAGGCAATTTCTACCGAAGGTTTATAGAAGACTTCGCTAAAATCACGAGAGCATTGAATGATCTCACAAAAAAGGACCTTGTTTGGCATTGGGGCGCCAAAGAACAAGAAGCTTTTGATAAGCTCAAACAGGCATTCACAACAGCGCCCATATTGGCATTTCCTGAGTTAGACAAAGAGTTTCGGTTAGAAACCGACTCTTCTGACTTCGCCACTGGGGCTGTTTTATCGATCAAATGCCCTGATGATCTTTGGAGGCCTTGCGCCTATTTATCGCATAGTTTGTCGCCTACAGAGCGCAACTATCAAATCTACGACAAGGAGATGCTGGCCATCATTAGAGCTTTAGAGCACTGGCGGCACTACTTAGAAGGTGCTAGGCACCAATTTGAAATTTGGACCGATCATAAGAACCTAGAGTACTTCATGACGGCCCGAGACCTGAACCGAAGACAGGCCCGCTACGCGGTGTACTTGTCAAGGTTTAATTATAAATTAATTCATAAGCCTGGAAGCTCAATGGGGAAAGCGGATGCTTTATCCAGAAGAGAGGATCATGGCAACGGCATTGAAGATGACAACAAAGGTGTCACCCTGATAGATCAATCAAGGGTTGCCAATGTTAGAATCGGGCAAGATTCTGATCTCCTGGAAGACTTCAGGAAAGACATCTCCCCAGAGGAAAAGGCGCGCCTTGACGGCAATGAAAACTATTTATGGAAAGACGGGCTCTTTCATTTTAAAGACAAAATCTATGTGCCTGAGTCCGCAAGAATCAAGGCAATAGATAGACATCACGACACTCCAGTGGCTGGGCACCCCGGGTGGCAACGCACGATGGTGTTGATCTCCAGAAACTACATGTGGCCTGGCATGGTCAAAGACGTACAGGAATACGTAAAATCCTGTTTGAGATGTGCCATGGCCAAGAATTCTCATCAACCGCCGGCCGGTAAACTCATGCCGAACCCGATACCAGCTGGCCCCTGGCAGGATATATCGGTAGATTTCACGACGGATCTGCCCGAATCAAACGGGTACGATTCAGTAATGGTGGTAGTAGACCGCTTCTCCAAAGAAGTGGTATTCATACCCACCAATAAAACCATCACCGCCGCCGGCACGGCAGACCTATTTAAAGATTTCGTATGGTCCATCCATGGGTTACCAGAGATGGTGATTTCCGATAGGGGACCGCAATTCGCTAGCGAATTTACGAAAGAATTATGTCGGATGCTGGGCATCAAAGCAAAACTATCCACGGTGTTCCATCCGCAAACCGATGGACAAACGGAGAGACTCAACCAGGAGTTGAAACAATATCTCCGTATATTTATTAATGATAGGCAGACGGATTGGGTCAAGTGGCTAAAGATAGCCCAGTTCTCTTATAACATAAAACAGTCGTCGGCTACAGGCAAGGCACCATTCGAGGTTACTAGATCGTACCTCCCTAGAATAGGTGTAGAACCTGGCAAAAGCAAAAACGAGGCTGCTGGGAACATGGCAAAGGACATGAAGTCTGTCTTGGACGAAACGCGCAAGGCGCTATTTAGAACTGCAGAGCAGATGAAGGACAGGGCAGAGCGTAGATGCTCTAAGGCCCCTGACTACAAGGTTGGCGACCTGGTCTGGTTAGACACCGACCATTTAAAATTAAAAGACCGGCAGTCTAGAAAACTGACCGAAAAGTGGATTGGCCCTTATCGGATTAAGGAAGTCAAACCTAATGCGGTGGAGCTGGAACTCCCAAAACGAATGAGGGTGGTACCCACGGTAAACATTAGCCGTGTGAAACCCTACAAGGGGCCGCTGCCGGGACAGCGTATAGACCGGCCCGGACCGGTAGTAGTCACCCAGGAAGGTGAAGAAGAGTTCGAAGTCGAACGAGTGGTAGATGTACGCTTGAAGCGTGGAAAATTAGAGTTCCTGGTCCTATGGAAGGGCTATGGAGACGAGGACAGAATGTGGGAACCAGAAACCCATCTGGAAAACTCCCGCAACGCTGTCCGCGAATTTTATTCTAGAAATCCCTCGGCTCCCAGGAAGCTTAGAAGCATGGATTCCAAACTTTTTAATTCCCTTTTTCAACCTATGCCCGAAAATTTTACCATTACCTCCGGTATCTGGTCTCGCCTGGAAGTCGAGCCTTAGAAGGGGGGTAGTGTTACGATAACACAATTTCCGGACATCTCCTTTTCTTTTATTCTCCGCTTTAACCTTATACCTTAATTGCCATGCGGCATTTCCCTTTCTAGCGCCGCGTTGCCTTCCTTTTATTTTTAGACTTAACTCTCTCACGCAGTGGAGCTGGCCATACGGGCTAGGCCCTATGACATTATCAGCCACTGCCTTCTTCAACTGTATAGTACACATATACAAATAAACCTGTAGTAGTATATATACCCCAATAGATCCAGGAGACTCCTCAGCGAGTCCTTCTGTTGTATACCAACTAACTCACTGCAGCTCAAGGGGTAACCACTCCCCATCTTCATCTTCTCTATAGTGTGTTTCTGTGTGCGCCGGAGTAGATCACTCTTGGTTATTACAGAATGTGATAAGAAAAATTGATTCCTCACAAGTATCTGTTGGGCACTCCGGATGGAAAAGTTAGTTTTGGAATCTTTGGAACGACACTTGAGGATGAGCTCCTCGAATGGGCAGATGGACTCAGCAAAGGAATATTTGGAATCAGGCGGGAGGACATTGCTAAACAAAGCTTGCACGCGGATAGAGCGAGATGGTTGTACGAGTACTTCTCCACCCGGTTTGTCCCTCCGGTCCCTGTCGCACCCAGACCAGACCAGTGTTACCCCGGAGCGCACTTACCACATCATCACCCGTTGACCTACGCCCATCCCGTCGGAGGAAAAATATATTCCCACCGTCCCAACCAGCCCAATCTCACAAGTGTCGAGCCACTCCAGTCCCCGTTCCATTGGGTCAAACCCAAAACCACCGTCTCCCCCATTATCTCCACCTCGACCAGTGCCAAACGCCCAAACCCGCCGCCTGACGAACCGACAAGGAGCCCGACGCGGCCGGCAAGAGGTGATACTCCAGATCCCCGCCGCCAGAACTCCATCAAAACGGCAGTCTCGTATGTCGAAGGGACAGAAAGACAGTCCACCTGGCGCAATGCACAGGCCTGAGACTGGCTCTCCCTCCAACCCAATCAACGTAGATGACGACGCAGCCATGATTGATCAGTTGTACGCAGGAACGTACAACCTGGGAGATGACAATCCAACCACTCCCCAATCCAACACCTCATCCAACACCTGACAAAGATACCATGAAGGTGTTCGTAACAACGCTCCATACTGCCAAAACTGCGGTTGGAGCAATCATCGCACATACTATTGCGAAGCTACTATTGCCCCGACTGTGACCATTGTGCACCGGGACATAGTTTCAGTTGGTGTCCCATCCGCAGGGAAGACGAGGATAGGATTCTAATGGAATGATTACATGGAGATTGTGAGGAATCAAGTTTTCTTATCACATTCCCGTCATGTTGTGGTTAGCAGACTCGATCCCTGTCACTCCTCTTGCCCTTGGACTAGAGATTACAGCAGGTGTCTTATTACTTTTATCCTTTTTCTTCTTATTCTCTATTCACACTCACGTCCTATCGTACCTACAACAAAGGAGACTTGTTGTAGACCCTCAAGAAGATATCCAAATGACATAGTAACAATCCAGTGCTATGTCTGGGAATACTTCGGAGGAATATTGATAAGTGAAGAAGGTTGTGAGTCAGCGCCTTCTCATGGGCTTACTGATACAGCCAATTGCACATCCCTTACCAATACATTTTCTCATACGATTAGTAAATACAATAGATTGGACCACCTTCTCCTTTTTTCTTATTGGTTAGCTGGCTGGTCAGACCACTTTCTCAATTCTTCCCTTTATTGGTCTGACCATCGCCATTCACTATATAAAGAAGTACATACTTGATGTACTGTTCTCTAGTTCAATATTAGTTTGGATTTGCGCTCATACTGATACTCTTCAACCTCATACCCTGATTCACCGCCTTCCAGCAAGGACTTGACCAGGCATTGTGTTTTGTTATATAGCTTCGTATTTGTTGCCTGACAGAGACGTCAGCTACGACAACAGTTACAATATAGACGGTGAAGGTACCGAATTTCAGTGAAACTCGAAGCGAATAAGGGGGTAATGTTACGATCTCTATTGGACATTTAAGGACTACTCATTTCTTTTTACTCATTAGTTATACCATCGGACCAATGACTCATTTCCTTCACGTTGTCATGCACCAAAGTTGATTGGTAGCATGGACAGGTGTCAATAATGAAGCGAATATTCAAAAGACTCGCCTTTGCGCCACACAGGCACAGTGCCACGTGGAATAGTAATTAATATTGCCTTTTTTGAACTTGTGGCTGATCAGCATCACCTCTATTAGGCAATCCAGTCATGCTCACCTTTGCTTTTCCATCCGGTACTTTCCGCATTTCGGCATTTCGGCAAATTTTCGCATCGCCACTGGCTACACATTGCATTGCGCCCTCGCTTTGGTCGTTTCCCTTACTCCCCTTCCTTTGCCTAGCCCCACCATGGGCCCCTTCCTCTCCTTTTTATTCTCACCCAACGGTCGTTTCTGGATCCCCATTCTAATCCACTTGTTCGTCACCTCCACCCTCCTCCTCCTCATATTATTTGCACCCCCACCTTTTCTGATGTCACCACTTCCTATCCGCTTCCGTCGCCAATCCGTTGACTACCACGTGCCACTGCTGATATCAGCAAAGCCCCGGCGGCCGGTCCAAATAGGGCAACAGGTCCATCTTCATGACGTTGATCTGCCATCATATACTATCAAAACATCGGTTGCTCGCGTTGGAGCGTGGGTGGGTAGTTTTTGAGCTGGAGAAGGTTCATCCCCTTGCGTCGCCCATGTTCATTGCTGTCCCATTCACTTGGGTACACTTATCTTTTGTCCATTGTCTTTGCTACAGCTACACCTACCACACGCTGCCTGGGACTCACTTGTTCCAAATTGGAACTACTCCTCTCCCTCCCTCATTTGATCAGGAGGTCCAACACAACCAGTCCATTGGTAAGGCCGTGGAACTGTCGGATTTGGACTAGGTGGTGGACCGGTGGCTCCAGTTTCTTTTTCTTCAGCAGAACATTCATTTACAGTGCAATTATTTTTGATTTTTGAATCATTTTTATGGACACATATTTTTTAGAATGCCTGACTGACAATAAAGGAACTGTGTTGATACTGATAGTGTTTTGCCTTGCCCTTTTTTTACTGCATCTTCCCATGACATCATGATTTTCCTGCTCTCTTTTTGCTATTGGACTTTACTTTATGGCTGTACAAACCTGTGACATTACTCACAGCATTCATTGTTCTATCTCTTTCTTTTCCTTTTTTTACAATCTTATCCTGTACTACCTACGCAGGATTCATCAGCAAACATTCCTTCTTTCATGTTCTTTCTCATTCTTTTTGCACAGCTATACTGTGCATAGCCTACTTTTCTTTTACTATATAAACCCCTGTATTTTACCTTGTAAAAAAAAAAAAAAGAACAAGAACTCCAATCCAGACTTCTTCTCTACTCTCAAATTCACTACTCTGCTACTTGTGATCCAGTGTGGTCACAACACTTCCCACTTCTACCACTGTCAACTGCTGTCATCGTCACTTCCCACTTGTGAAGTCATTGTTATCCTTTTCAATTAGAGTCCTTCTGAGCACTACAGTTTGTGCATTAGTGCTCATCTATACTCGTCACTAAGCACCTATCTTCTATAAATTCAACTATCCCTCCTCCTCAAAACCCACACTCATACACCTCTGGGTTTTACTTTGAAGGACCCTTATACATACCACCCCACAAACAACCAGAGCACCCACTGTTCTAGGAGGCAAAGCCCATAAACAAGTTCCGTGGAATCTGGGAGGATTGTGTGTTAGTTTGTTTTTGTATGTGGTTTTCTAACACCAGTTCTCATCATCGACAATGTATACTTCCGTTCCTCTCGCATTCGCAGTACCTATTATAGTACTTAGTCCTCAACGGACGGACCTGCCCTAGATAGGACCTAACTCCTATCACCAATTCCTTTCCATTATAAATACCATGTAACAGCAGTAGTATACTCCAATACAATTCTACGCAGTTTACGCTTACAAAGCTAGACTCCTAAGATCACACTTCTACTCAGAAGAAGACCAACTCTCGTTGGAAGACCTCCACTCAGAACTATGTTCTCGAACTTGTCTTCGGATAAGTCTCTTTATAAACCTCGACAAACCCTCAGACTTTGTTAAGCACTTTGTGCGTAACATTCCCAGAGTGACATGGAGTTAAATGGTGCACAGTTGGGACGTAAAGTGTAATCCAATACAGTATTAGAGAAGGACGGATTTCCCTGACCAAACAACATTTCTAGATCATTGATTACTTCATGTTCACCATCACTTTCATCGTCATCATTGCCAGCATTGTTGTCCAAGCTATCATCAGAGTCAACATCAATGCTAGCCCCAAATAAACCTTCTTGAGCAGGCAAGGGTTCTGTATTGTTCTCTGTAAATAGAAGCTGAGGTTCATCTTGGACAGATGAGAGAATATCCGAGTTGACATCAGCAGGAAAAGTATGAGATATATATCCGTCAAAGATACACCACTTCAGCATCTTGAAAGAGTGGCTACAGTAGAAATCACCACCCCCAATAAGGTAGCTCATGACTTGCTGGTGAGATATTTCTTGACGAGCCATCATTGCATTAACAGTCTTTGTGAACAGGCTATGGTTAACCGTACTTGTAGGAGCATCTGAAGACTCAAATTTGGACGTGTTTTGCCGAATGGCATACATAACAGCAGATAGGCCAATGTGAGTGGGTAATTGGCTTTTTGTGATGTAGTCAGTGATGTAGTAGACAAGTGCTTTAGCAGCTTCACCAGATCCAATATATTTCAAGTCCATGTTACAGCACAATAAGAAGAGCACAAGATCATTAAAATTGTTGATTCAATAATGCAAGCGGCGCAATAATATTGACTGGGTTTCTTCATCTAGATCAGTGAAAGCACGTGTTGTGCCATTCATGCGCATGCAACAATGGGCGTCATCTTTCGGTTGTCCTGGCTTGAAGTGCTTCCAACATGTATCACACTGGGTGCATAGCCAAATATATCCATGAAAAAGATCTGGAACAAAAGCTTGAAACAAGAATACTTTTTTTCAAGATATTGTCTCCCATAATTATTTTTTTATTTTTTCAAACAGAAGTGTTTACCAAAAGTGTTCACCATTTGGATGATGCAAAGAGCCATCCATTTGAAAAAAAAAATAGTTATGGGAGAAATTTGTTTTCAGGCTTTTTTTCCAGATCTTTCTCATGGATATATTTGGCTATGCACCCAGTGTCAGTATGTTGGTGCCAGTTGCACTCAATTGCGAGCAATTTAACAGTTTCCTGAAAGGCGGTAGCAAATTCGTGGTCATCAACGTCACAAGCCAGCGGAGATTCACTCAAACGAGGATCAGGAACACCATGTTCTCGGGGAGGTTTAGATAAAGGTGAACCTGGATGCTCGGAGGTGACATCAGTGTCACCTGGCAAGTGAGTGAATATGATGGATTCAAGCCAATCAAACATTGACGTTTTGAAGCTCGGCTTGTCATTCATACGATCTCGCAATGCTTGAGGCGAAGGATTACCTTTCAGCCACAAAAGCATATGACAGTGTAGAGTCCCCCGCCCTTGCGCTTCCACCATACCGTAATGCGCGATACATGTCCCAAAGAGAGAGGCCAACACCACGATTGTAACGGACGATGATGTTCAGAAAGGATTGAATCATGGAGTCGAAAAACAAGGCTGCAGGGGCAGGATTATTCGCGACAAAGACCGCACGCTCAAATGCGGACATCTGTAGCCACTCGCTCGAAGTGAGGCCTACAATGATGGCAATTAGAGGGTTCCAGATATCTGCGGGGTTCAATGTGACGGATAGAGCAAGTGTGCAGAACCGCTTCATGAGTGCACAGATTTTGTTACGTCTGCATAGCTTATAACCGAAAGATCCCTTTAATTCTTTAGCGACAAACTTGAGACGATTCAGCATTTTCAAAGCCCTTTTCTGTTGACGGTTGGAAGACTTTGCAGATGGATGCTGTTCCCACATAGCGATCAAATCAGTTAAGTGGGGACCAACAGCATGCATATCACTCAAGATTTCATCACGTTCACGAGCGCTAACGGTGAATGATGTATTCTTACTGACCCCCCTCTTTTGGATGATGTTCCAGCAAACATAGGCAAAACGAGGGTCCTTCTGAAAAGGGGAGTCATGCTGCTTTAGCAGATTCTTCACTTGTCGTTCAAAAGGTATACGTTGATCTGGTCTGCGATTAGGTTCATGAAAACCACCGATTCCTCAAGGATCAAGATGAGGGAAAAGGTAACTCATCAGACCGGGGTCTCGCTCATTGATGAAGTTAGAGCCGGCTTGCATCTTAAGAAATTGACTGCCATCAAGCACACGGGCAAGAGCCTCTGCTTTCATCATCTTGTGATTCTGAGGTGTATAGTCACCGGAAGCATAACCTACAATGTCCATAACCATTTCATGAAGTTCAGGTTGTGGATCAGCAGCATGAAAGGTACGCCGATCAGCATAATCTGAAGTTGCAGCCGCCAAACCATGTGATCCATCCAAGTGACAGATTTCAACAGCTGTAGGAACAGACTCGTCAACGTCGTTTTCGTCTTCAGGATAAAGGTCAGATAGGTTTTCCTCCAAAAATGTAAGCCCAGCAATCTTGTACCATACGTTGTGATTGACAAGGAAATCAATTAAGGTTCGCGCTCTGCGCTTTGAAACAAGCACAGGACGCAAGGACGCAATATTCTCTCTGGTCGGTTTAGTTTTCCAGCGCACAAAAAGGGCACACATCGCGTCGGCAATGACGGAACGAGTGGGCGGAAGAACAAATTGCAAGTTCACAGAATCTTGAGGCAGGACGGCAACATTACCACGAACAAACTTCTGCGAAGTCGCAATGTTTCCACCAAATGCGGGATTGCTACACTCAAGAGCAAAGAGATGCAATATTTTGGTCGCAAAGGCACGAGAAATCATCATGATGTCATACAAGTAGCATTGGTAAGACATTGTCAATGTCAGGTGGCAGCTGTGGTACACCATAGTACTGGAAGTTGGCTAACGAATCAAGAGGTTGTTTATCTTTAAAAATGAGGCAATGATGACATGATGTGCAAAGGAGCAAGTAGCCCGGCCGATCCAAATCCTCGAGGGACCTGTAATCCAAAATAGCTTTATCATACGCTTCAAAATTGTATTGTGATGGGAGAGTGTGAGAAGGGAGGCAAGCATTTTGCAAAAGACGAAGAGATATGCTATTTGCATGAACACGAATCAATGCTTTTGTGGGTGTGCTGTGGCTGCACACCGCACAAGGTTGCTGGGCTGCGAATGACATACAATCTTGCCAGTCTTCAATAATTGTCCGACGCAAATCTGCAGAAGCAATGTACGGAAAAGACGGGTCTGCGCCAATACAAGTGGCGTGACGTGCACGTTGGCTATCCCGTGTTCTATCATGGTGATTGGGACGTTCAGGATGCTGCATAGTAGGAAACGTAACGGGCTGTGGTGGCTCAACAATTACACGATCACGTCTCAAAGATTCAAAAAGGAAAGTGAACGGAGCACATTGGGTGGAACACGAATGTGCTCTAAATTTGAGAACTATAGAAGATTTATTATCACGAGTGGGAAACATAAGGCCATGAGAGGCAGCCATGCAAAGTAAGTGCACTTTTTTCAAGAAAGTGCTGTAGTGATCCATCAAAAAGCACACATCGGCGAAATTCAGTACTATATATTTACCAGCAGGAAAAAGATCACGAGGATGAATTCTTTCCCCAGAATGCACCATAACAAACTTGAAAGAGCGCTGAAGGCGGTACATGGTGATAAACAAGTTACAATCGTCGGTAGCATTCAAATCATGATCACAAGGAACGACAGGCAAAATCGGTTGTAGCATTTCTGATGATTCAATGATTACAATTTCCATGATTACAATTCGAATATGAAGTGACGAAGAGAGGTGGGAGTACATGGTTAGAAAGTGTAAGTAAAGAATGATAGAATACACACCTCGCTCAGCATGGAAGACAGAAGGGTCTGACATGACATGATCTAGATGACATTAACATGAAGAGCAACGTGAAGTTCCTTGCCCTCGGGCTCACCTGAAATATTTCCTGAGGGAGAGGAGCGGAGAGATCATTCGGTTCACCAGTGGACGACGGCGTGTTTCCCATGGGAACGAAAGCATGAGAGGGACAGCATTGGAGGGAGTACAAAGTTATAGGAAAAGAAAACTGTACAGTACAAAGATAAGCGAAATTGATGTGGCACTCATCAGAATATTACGTAGCAAAGTACAGTCACACTAAAAGTTCCGCTGAAAAAAGTGGCATCAATGTCGAAATGGAAACCTGGATCCTACGGGTCCAGGAATAAGAGGTATAAAAGTTCCGGGAAGAAAAAAACTCCAATGTCGAAATGGAAACCTGGAACCTCTGGGTCCAGGAATGTATATTTCATGTCTACGATGCGTAGGGACATGCCGAGATGGCAAGATGGCATGAGACAAATACAGGTGGAACAAGGCACATCAACACATTCATCATCTTCATCATCTCCTCGTACGCGTTATTCTAGTAGCTCTTGTCTTTATGGTGGTATCAATCTCCGTTGTTTTTTGTGCATGAGTTTTAGAAGTGGTAGTGGCTACTGGCTTGATTTTTGAGTGTTTTGTTCGACTTGGAATTGCGCGTTTAGGGACAGGGTCTTCCTCATCAACAGAGGGTGCATTCTCTTTTTCCATGCCACTTTCTGAGCTGTCAGGAGTGTGAAAGGGTGTAGCTGCCGATTCAGCAATTTTGATACTCGCCGCCTTCTTTGCAGAGGCAGCTTTTGAGCGTAAGTTGTTAGCCGAAGGGGCTGCTTTGACCACAGCGCGTGTAGCACCTCGCCTAGTTCTTCCTCCCGAAGTCCCCTCGTCATTTTCTTGCTTCACAGCAGTTAGAGTACTCTTTGCAGATCTCGTAGAGTGTTCAACATTTGCTATGCTGTCCTCCAGTTGACAAATAGAATCCAAGGGATCGTCATCATTGTCCTCAGTGACGTCAAGAACCTCGGACCTACTTCTACCTTTCGGCACAATCCGCGTAGGCAACTCATCAACCTCCAACTCTCTCGCCTTTTTAGTAGGCCTACCTCTGCGGGCTGGTTTCGTGTTCGCTGAAGGCTTCTCGTCCACCGTAGAGGTAATGCTTTCACTACTTGTTTCCTTCGTGGCCAAGCGTGTCCTGCGAAGGGGTTTGACCGGTTCTCTACTGGCGACTCTCCGATCCAAATTGGCTGTGGATTTAGGAGTAGCTTTGTTCTTGGCAACCGGCCGGCTTGTTATGACCTAGAACAAATGAAAACATGAAACATATGTATAATATATGCATGTTCTTGACTTACCACCTCAGGAAGAGTCGAAGGTTCATCTTCCTTCTTTACATTCCTGATTCGGCTCGCCTTGGCCGGCACAGTTGCAAGCGTGTCCATTGATCGCACACCGTGTTTATCCTGCTGAGGTGAGATTAATTAGGATTAGGTAGGTAATCACTACATCACTAAAATCCGGCCCTACCTGGTCATTTTCATTCACAGCCACCTGCTTACGACCCCTAAGCAACCTAGGCTTTGCACGAGGAATTTGTCCTTCTCTCGCAGTCGATTGTGCCATGGTTCCAGAAACCTCTTCCACTTCCGCAGTGATGCCAGTAGAAGCCTGTGTAGATCGATCTTTCAATACTTCCAATTGGCCAGGCTGACGTTGTTCTTGGTCTGAGTTCGGCACCACAGTATCAGCTATCACATTGACCACACGTGTAGTGGTGGGTCGGGACATATCACCCTTATCGCGGGGTTTGGCCGAAGCACCAGAACGTGTCGTTCTTCCTGCATCAGCTGCTGCCCTCACCGAAACCTCGTTTACATCAGTGTCTTCTTCGCTATGAGTACCACTGTCCTCTTCCTGATCGGACTTGTGATATCCTGCTGGGGTCTCCATCATATCACGTAGGCCTTCGAAAGTAGGTGTATCTGTCACGTGTGTACCTTCACGCAAATACATATCGCGCACCCCGTCCATCCTTGGTGTGTGCAAAGGGTGTGCATATCTATGCGCGTCGGCACTTTTGAATAGATCCCGCACGCCGCTAAAGAGTGGTGTACTAGAACCAATCTGGGGAAGTGAATAGAGGTGTTTAAGGGTGTCAATGGGAGGTGTGAGAGGGGCAACACCATCACAACCCTCCACTGAAAGTGAGGATGTCCCGGAAAATGCACCCACGGTAACATTTTCTTGCTCTTTGTCAGAATTTGCAATGTCAGAATCATTGTCTGCTGATCGAGGCTCTTCGGAGTCAAGATACTGATCGGAACAGTCATGCTGTAAACTGAAAGCACCTTCATTCTCTTTATCACTTCCCTCTTCTGAGAAGTCAGCAACTCCTTGACCTGACTGTTGTTGTATAGTCATCCTTTCCTCTATTGTCTCTGATTCATCGTTTTCACTGACGTCCACAATCATGTCTTCATCAAGGGCAGAGTTTGCATTTGACGGAGGACCAACGCTCCTCCTCCTCTTCATGTCTTCCACCGTCTTCTTCATCCTGTCCAAGAGTGAACGAGTATCCTCTTCGTCGTCCCCTTCACTGCTATCCAAATCACGCAACACTGTCTTCGTAGGAGACACGCTTTTCTTCGAAGGAGAAAAAAAAGATGATACTGTAGCAGGGAAGGGGTAGAGAGTAGCCTCGCGCTGAAACCCGGGAACTTGACCACCAAAACAGGTCTGGAGTTGTAGTGCTGACTTTCTGCGCTCTCGGATAGCCTGTA